TCCGCTCGCTAGAGCCCTCGGTGGCCAATCAGAGCGCGCGACACTCGACTGGAGCGCCACCCCACGCCGGCGGTGACGTCTCGAAGCTCGAGGTGAGAGCACGTGTTTTTTCGATCTATTGACGCGATTTAAAACTTCCACAGTTTTTACACTACGCGCACAATTGATGGCTCATTTTAATCGTCTTCACTAATAACTAGTTTCCGCGTTTGCTGCTTGGATCTGCGAGCAGTATTCCCGGAGGAATCCGGTCACAAAGATCGGCGTGCCGGAGCACGTGGCGATCGATGTAAATCTTCCGTTCACTATAACTTTGTTTTTTTCCCAGCCGATTTCCACAATTTTTGGCTCTAACTGTTCCTCTTCGATGGCACTTCACTTCAATACACAATTTGTAATTCTTGCGACTGTTTTAACCACTAATTATCGATAAAACACGGAGCACGGTATGGCGACGCGTGTGGCGGATTGATTGGTGTTAGGTTCTCTTATATTGATTCTCTGAGAACTGGGATCGATGGCGCGTAGGTAATAAGGAAACACGTGGTTTTAGCCTAACTTGTAACGTACTTTATTTCACGTTATGCGTACGTCTATACGCGTGGAAGGCTGGTATTAGACTGAGAGAGAGTCTAGTGGTTTGCGTAGCAACGGCTAGTTACTAAATTGTAGGTGGCGCTGTGTGCCGCTTGTACGGGCGTACGCCACAACCACTCTCCCCCGAGATATAAAACTATATACAATAACAAAATATATTGTGAATTCGGTAACATAACANAGTTGTAGGTGGCGCTGTGGGCCGCTTGTACGGGCGTACGCCACAACCACTCTCCCCCGAGATATAAAACTATATACAATAACAAAATATATGAATCCGGTAACATAACAATAATAATTATACAGTAAATGTGACTTTTTTGGGTCCTTGATACGTTCGTAATTGTGAACTGGTTGGTTTTTCTTGGATTTTTTCCAAGAATGCTGGTTTTAAACGTTCCGTGGTTAAATTAGTGTGTCTTCCTTTGTAATCCACCTTGAAAATTCGGTCTGNCCAAATGTCTCTGTTGTCTAGGTGAAGCTTTCTCTGCGTTTTGTATAAGAGCTTGTATAAAAGCTTGAGTGAGTGGTTTGTGGTCAGTTTGTATCGTGAGGTCTCTTCCTTCTACCAGGTGTCTGAAAAANTTATCGGGTCCTTTCCATTGGCAGGGTTGTCTGCATTTCCACGAGTTCTCGCCGAACTTCCCGTGGAAATAGCATAGTCCGTCGTCTCTAGTTCGACTCCTTGACTTCGAACTATATCTTCGGAATTTGTTGCGTTCCGGTCATCGTCCTCTGTGGGTGTCGCGGACCAATGCTTCGAGTTGAGCTATTCGCTTGGTAAGCTCAGCTATTTCCNTCCTTGAGAAAAAGCCTAAAGGGTGCCAGTTGTTCTTATGGTTCTGTTTTAGTACAGCTCCGATTGTTTGATCTGATGCGTCAGTTGTTAATCGGAGTTGCGCATCTTCGCTTGGGAACTGTAATAGGGATGATTTTGCTAACTGTTCTTTACTTTCTATGAACGCTGCTTCAGCTTCCGGTGTCCATTTGACTGGCCTCTTGTCTTTCTTCTTGGTACCCACCAGTAATGCGTTTAGTGGGATGTGCGTTTTTGCAGCTCCGGCAATGAATCTACGGTAAAAATTTAGAATTCCCAGATACCTTCTTAGCTCCATTATTGTACCTGGTTTTGGATATTCTTGGACGGTCTTGACGCGGGTGGATAATGGTGCGATTCCCTTACTGCTGACTTCGTAACCTAACTAGGTTACTGACTCCTGACCAAAAACGCATTTCTCAACGTTGATTGTTAATCCGTGTTGCTGTAGTCGTTCAAATATAATGCGTAGATGTCTATAGTGTTCTTCCAATGTGTTTGATGCTACCAGAATGTCATCGATGTAGCAATGGCAGAATGACAAGCCCCTTAGCACTGTATCCATGAATCTTTGGAACGATTGTGCGGCATTGCACAATCCGAATGGCATCACCGTGAATTCGAACAGTCCGAACGGTGTGATGACTGCAGTTTTATATCTGTCTTCGGGTGTCACTTGTATCTGGTGGTATGCTCGGGCGAGATCTAGTGTTGTATAAATCTTGGTGTTGGTGAGATGGTGCGCTATGTCGTGTATATATGGTAGTGATTAACGGTTTGGTTGAGTCATGTTATTTAATCTGCGATAGTCACCGCAAGGTCTCCACTCACCAGTCTTTTTCCTTACCATGTGTAAGGGACTAGCCCATTGGCTGCTAGAGGGTTGACAAATACCGTGTCGCATCATCTCTTCGAATTCTGCCTTAGCAGCTTTTAGTCTGTCTGGAGGAAGACGACGTGCCCGTTCTGCAATTGGTGTACCTTTGGTGGTGATATGGTGTTGTTCGCCATGTTTTTGGTACGCTTTGGAGTTCTGTCTGGTGATTGAACTAAATTCTTTTAGCAGTATTGAAAAACTGTTAGTCTTACCTATTGTAGTCACTGTTGGTTGAGTCGAATTTGTGACTTTTCCAACTGAAAATAGGTGCGTTTGACTATCAATCAGTCGTTTATTTTTTATGTCCACCAGGAGGCTGTAGTGTCCTAGAAAATCTGCTCCTAGGATGGCTTTGGATGTATCCGCGACGATGAATCTCCATGAGAACTGTCTCCGAAGACCCAAGTTCACAGAGAGCAGCTGTTCACCATACGTGTTTATGGGTGTTCCCTTTGCTGCGTACAGTTTAAAATCGTCGTCTATTCTTCTTTTG